AGCTTGGTTATGCTTGGATTTTCATAGCAGCTGTGTGGCTGATGCTGTAATAGCTCCATCAGTCTCTGCCTCAGTCCTTCCCTGACTAAAATGGGGATGGTTTAACAGTGCAATGGTATCTGATCTAAAGACTGAAATGTGTAATTGATCTTAGGATAACGTGTATTGAAGCATGTGTGGAGAATGTGTGGGGTTGGGGACAGGGTTTTCTTTTTTTTTTTTTTTTGGTTTCTTTGAACTGCTTTGTGGAGTGTATGTAACCCTTCCTTATGGGATGACAAACTGAACATACTTGAAATAGGCTCTTGCTGATACCTCCCTGAAAAGAATGAAGGTTTCTGGTTTTTTTAATTTTACTGCTGCTGCTCCTCACAAAGCTGAAGTGGGTGTTTAAAGCACTTGTTCTGAAAAGTGATTGATTTTTGGCAAGGTCATCTTTCCAAAAACTTGTGTAAAATTCCTTCATCTGTTTGACTTATGAAGTGTTAAGGTCACATAGGCATGTCCACGTCTCTTAGCATGGTTTTGTGAGGTTCGCACAGTCTAATCTTCTGGACACACAGGAGTTGAAATTACTTTAATTTTGAAGAAAATATGTAAAGTTGTTCTCTAGTAAGTAGAGTAAGTTGTATTGCTTGTACTAGAAGCAGTTTTACAAGAATACAAATCTTCCATAATCTTTCCTACCAATTTTCCTATCGGTATTTTCAGTAACTTTCTGTATGTTGTTCCTGTATGTCTTTGGTGTAATCTAGGAAAATACAAATCTTTTGACAGATGTGGAATTAATCTCAACTTGTTCCTGTAGGCCAGTTGTTGAGGTGACAGCACTCAGCATAGAGTTAATTACCGCTTTAGACCTGTGAAATAGCAAATTTATGCCTAAGATTGATCTTTATAATCAAGAGACTAGAAGTAATGAGAAAGGAATACTGGTTAGTTATTCAGCTTTTGTTGCTGTTGTTGCATGCTTCCTCCTTTTCAAAAGCTTTGTTGTTGTTTCTCTCTGCCCGATAGTTTTGTGCTACATTGTATTAATTCTGCTTCCCTTTCAGTTCCTTTTAGTTTTATGTATCTGTTCCTCAAACAGACTTATTCCAGTCATGTTAATTTCTCATAGCAAAATGGAAAAACTGTGGGGACCCAGCTGTGCTGCTGAAAGGGGAATCAGTTATTGCCTCAGCAGAACTGTTTTCTTTATAAAAAATTTAAAATTAGGGACTCATGCAAAACTGAGTAATTTGCACCCATCAGTGTAAAATATTAGTGTTTTCCTGTTGTGTGTTGAATTACAAAACTGATACTTGTCTCTCATAATTTCTATGTGCACTTATTCCTGGAGGAAAAAAAAAATGCTGTATGGAGTATTTTGGTACTTTTCTGGAGCACAGGGTAGATTAGAGGTGACTGGCACACTCAACCTTGTGTTTTGATGGCATACCTGCTCAGAAAGTATGTGCACTGAAAGTATGTACTACTGAAAGAGTCTGTTTCACTTCCCCTGTGCAGACACACAAGTTCAGATTTGCTCAGCAGAGGATCTGGGAACAGGGACAACAGTTAGTTGTAGCGGCAGTCACTTTCCCGGTCCAAATCACTGGTTGCCTGCATGAACCCCCATTCTACTGGAAAAGCAAGTGGCAAGTAAGCCCTCCAGGTGGGTTGTGCGTCAGGATCATTGCCTTCAGTGGAAATGATCTCCTGCAAGGCCATAAATTCATCATGGTGTGGCAGCATGGGAATTTTTTTTTCCCTTTGCACTGCCCAGCTTTAGAAACTGAGTCAAGGTTGTCAAAAGCAGTGTAAATTATATTGAAGACAAAGGTGGTAAAACTAATTTGTCTTTGGCAGCTGCTTGTATCCCATTTTGAAGAGTTTCAGAGAAGAATAAAGTTCTGGAAAAGGTTTTCCGTCTTAAACAGCACACTGCTGAATCAATTTTTAAACTTCCTTGCAGTCTTCTACCTCGAATTTTAATTTAGATAAGTAAATGTAATTTGTCCTTCACCGTAAGGAAGGTGTAGAAGTTAGGGGTGATTGATCTTGATCTGTTCTTCCTGTAGATGGTTTGTCTGTTTGCTGGGCCAAATCTGAAGTTCAGCAGCCAGAAGCTGGGGGAGCAGTGCAGCTTCACTGTAGTGCAAAGTAATACATTGATGAATTAACTTCTCTGCTTGTTATAGTATGCGATTTGTCATGCAGAATTGTGCAAACACCCACAGAAATGTTTCCTAATAGCTGTTTGGATATGTATATGGCTTCCAGCATACGAAACAGTTGAGGGGATTAGTTTGCTTTCTGCAACCAAGAATTCTTTTCATAGCGTTCCCCTTGTTATTCTCAGATGGACTGTCATGTACTTTGTTGTAAGCAGTGCAAGTCTGATTTTGTTTTGAATATGTCAATCTTTCTGTCAGTGGTTGGCTTTAGCAGATGGGGACACAGATTGTAAACAAAGTGTGAGAGAGCACTCTTTCATGTATAATATGTCAAAGAGTTATTTACACTTAAAAACTGCCTTCTGCACAGGCAAACTAACTTCAGTTCGACTTGAATAGAACAACTAAACTAGGGCATTTCAAAAATGCTGTCTTGGACACGTTGGCTAGCAAGACTAAAGCCAGAATAACAAGTAAAGGTGGGCATTACTGGTGTATTTTTACTCCAGCTCTGAGCTGACTACTGTCAGGCATGGACAAAAGGTCTTAGTCTTTCTCAATGTCTACTTTACAAGGAATCCTGGTTTTAATAGTAAAATGTCTGGGGTTAGAAAAAGGCTTATGTCTTCTAGCCTTGGTCCTTTATTTTTCTGAAGGCTGTTGTGATTTATTCTTGGAGAAGAACAGAAAGAATATGTTCATCAGGCAGTATTCACAAAAACTGCAAGAATTACCCATCGTCTGGACAATCCTCATATTTCTAGGCTTGCTCAAAGCCACTTGGGATAGGAGAGTTAGGGGAAGGAGGCAAGACTGCCAACTGGGTGTTTATGAATCAGCCCTGAATTCCATGTATTGTGATGTAGAGACTTTCCATACACAATTCAGAGGACCTTATGTTAACTATTTTAAAGTTAAACTGTGAGGTAAGCCCTGCTTTTCTTGTTTGTGAAAAGGAAGTAAGTTTTGTGTCTAGAGAAAAATTGTTATGCTGTATGGCATTCCTCACTTGAACAGGGAATTCTGAAATTGAAGTGTGGATGGTAAAAGTAGTAACAGCACCAGGAAAATTGAATGAACAAATGACTAGGAGCTGGAAGAAATCATTAATGTCCAGGAAATAAGTGGCTAATAGAGATAAGAAGCTGATAAAAGTTCAGTTGCTAAGCACAAATGGAAGTTTTATGTTACTGGTTGATACCATGGGAAACCTAATTATATGGCACATGGATAAGGTAACAGGTAAGAAATAAATGTATGCTGTATGTTTTAAAAAAGGGTTAATCTTAGGCAAAGAGCCTAAGAGCCTTACTCTTCTGGACAGAACATGATGACTTTCTGAACAGGTACCTGAGGTGTAGACTGTGAACAGGATTTCCTTTCAGTTTGACACAAAGACTGTGAGCATTGCTCCTGGTGGCATGCAGGATACTCTGATCCTTAAACCCAGTTTAAGGATATGATTTGTCTGTGAAGCTTTTTTTTAAAGTAATTGCAAGGGAATTAACTGGATATTTTAAGAGATTTTTTCCTCTTGGGCTTTACTGTTTAAATACTAGAAGCAAGTCTGTTAATAATGACTGTAATGCATCATATATTTGGGGTTTATAATTCCCTTGGTATTTAATTGTGCTTATGTCTTCCATTATATTGTGCTGGTCTTTCTGAAGGGAAAGAAAAAAGGCAAATCTCAGCAACATATTAATTTCCTAATACGTGGCATATTGTGGGGGAAGCCTGTCTACTGGTTAAAGCTTGGCCCATTAGTTAAAACACAAGTTAAACCAAATTAGACCTTCTGGATTGCTTAATATGATGTTGTCTAACAAGGGATGTGACTCAAAAGCCTGCCCTCGGACTGTCAGTAGAAGCGTGAGTCTCAGTAGCTTTGTTCCTGTTGGCTAATTGTTTGCTGGGTGAGTCATTAGGGTAATTTTTGTTGTCAGATCTGAGTCCTCATCAAACTGAATTTGAGTGCTACCAAGCTAGTTTATTTTTCTTGTTTGTGGAGTGCAGTTTCTTTCAGGATGCTTTCTTATTTGAAGTGTTTCGAGCAATGTGACTTCCACTTACTACTTTGGAAGAATTCTGAATATTTGAATGCTTTATATCAGAAAACAGAATGTTTTCTTGAAATGTTATGTTAACGGACACAGCAAGTCTTCTGTATTAGTATGAGAGGAAAAATTACTGCTACCACATACTTAAGTGTTGGGATTATTCTTGTAGCCTAAAATTGAGTTTCAGTGAATCTCATCATAAAGTTCTCTTATGGTGTGCATTTGAGTGTGTGTGTCTTGCCATTACTGCTTTCTAGGTTTGTCCCCTGTCTGCCAGTGTTAAATGGCCAAATCTTTTATAAAGGATTGTGTTTGAAAGAATTTAAAAATACTATCCTCTGTGTTTTCAACTACTGAATGTTGCTTGAGACTAGCGTTGACATTTCTTCCTGTTCAAATGAAAGCTTATGTATTTGTAGAAGGCCAATATAATGCATCAAATAAATTCCATTTAAATATTGAAAATAAGATTATCAGCAAATTCCACTGCTTTGTTTTCTTGGTGGTCTTGCTAATTAAGTGTTAGGTCAGTTTAACGTTGGCATCAATATTTGCAGTGCACTCGGCAGTCTGACATTTCTATTGCAGATAATTCTGCTGAAAATTACTTCGTTTTCTTAGCTTTGGTTTGATTTTATGTGGGCTAGTGCATCTTGTAATGTATTATGGTTAAGTAATTTATGGTCATATAAAAATAGCTTATTGAAATTAACATACTGTTTTTCATTGTATTTTTAATGTCTCATGCTGGCACATACGTAGTCCTTAACTTTCCTGTCAGTCATGTTTATAACTACTGTACTAGCGTACACCAGTCTAATCAAGCACGGGGAGCTGGAGTACCTCCTTCTAAATCAAAAAAGGGCCAGACACCTGGAGGTGCTCAGTTTGTCGGCTTGGAATTGTACAAACGGCTAAAAGAATTTCTGAAGAACTACTTGACAAATCTCCTTAAGGTAAGATGGGACATTAGATCAATCTGCCTTTGTAGTAGTAGTATGGGCTGGGTTGAGAAAAGCTTGTGTCAACAAACCTAGAGGTGTATGCAGCCACTGGAAGTAAATTGAATGATTTTGAAATTTGCTTTTGTTTCCATCAGCCATTAGAAAGTTGTATAGGCTTTACCTTGGGCATAGATCAGTTGCTAAGTGTACCTGTGTGCTGCTTTTCCTCTTCGAGCCAAAGTGGTGTTCTGTGTTTTATAGAAGTAATGATATATGCCATCTTAAGCTGTCCTGTATCTTGAACAAGAATAGCTAGACTTTCTAACCAATTAACCAGCATATTAGTAATGCTGAAAAAAATGGTTGCCTGTAATGTTGAAAATGCCTGATGGTAGCCATTAATTTAATTTAACAAATAAACTACTAATAGAGCAGGATGTTGGACTGCTTTGTAAGAGAATGATTCCTAGTTATTTTTGGAAAGGAACCATGCTTTTAACTTTGGGGATTTTAGTTTTGAGCAATAATAAAAGAATTCTTTGTGTCCTATCAGGACTGCTGTGTAATTAATTTATGAAGCTGCATAAAGGTGTCTTGAGGCTTTACTCAGTATGCTCTCCTGGTTTTATTCCCTTGTCCATTCAAGCTGTAGTGGTCCAGTTTGGAGACACTTGAACTTAGATGTTACAATTTCATCTTCTTTTTTTCTGTAACAAGAACAAATATGATGCCATACCCATTTGCAAGAATACGGGGTTCCATTTACTACCTGACAGGTTCCTAGAGAAGACCCCATGCTCACTCATGTTAGCTGCCCATGGAGCAGCAGTGGGAGTGGGTGGTGTATTTTATGGACACGGTCATGTTGAATGCATTACCATTGCACTGGCATGTTTTACCTAGTGCAACTCATCAGCATTGCTGTTTGTTTCTAATGTGGTGACCTCTTGCTCTCACATAAGGGATGGGAGTGTCTTCTGGAGCTTTGTCTGTGGTGTGCATTTTTTTACCAGTGTTCTAATTTCTAAATCTCATACTGGCCTTGTGCTTTATTAATGTGGAAGTAAATGTATTAGCACTATGTTTCCTGTAAACACATTGCATGGTGTAGATTTATTACACAGTCAATTTGTACACCCTTATATATCTTGGTTGTACCTTAAAGTTGCCCAACAGTACTGGCAAACCTTTGTTATTTCAGGATGGTGAAGATTTGATGGATGAGAGTGTGCTGAAATTCTACACTCAGCAGTGGGAAGATTATAGGTTTTCAAGCAAAGTATTGAATGGGATATGTGCCTACCTCAATCGACATTGGGTTCGTCGTGAGTGCGATGAAGGTCGTAAAGGAATATACGAAATTTATTCAGTAAGTAGCTTTCTGGAGTGAGTGATTTATCTGTCATGTTTGCATTATTATCCTGCAGATCACTCCTTGAAACTTGTATGAAGTTCATAGAAGTTTTGAAGAAGTAGGCAAAGTGGGAGTCTCCTGCCTTTCTATACTCCCACCCCAGTATATTTGTAAAAATTCCATAGGTCTAAACCTGTGAGGTGTTCAGTCTGCCTTGTACGTATTGGGACTACCAGTATTAGACTGTCAAGGGTTCTCTGTTTCTGAGTATTTGCTGCTTATACTGCTATCTGCGTGCGTCAGTGTGGCCTTGTCATTCCACTTAGAATTCAGTCAAGTGTTTCAAATACAGAATGGAGAAGTAAATTGCATTTTGTTTCTGTTGACTTCAATACATCTCTACAAATTTTTTAGCATCAAAGCTGCTAAGAATCAGTCAACATTTGGTTTGTAATATAAGTTATTTTGGTATAGTTCTGAAAGATTGATACGTGATCTTGATAATTTTTTTGTAATGTAAAGTGATACAAAAAGGGAAGAACATAGCAGAAGTTCTGGATCTCGGATAACTAAGAGTCCTTTTTTTGTTTTAAAAAAAAAGGGGGGGGTAATTATTGTCCTTGCTCGTGAAGCATTAGGAAAGTGATGTGCTATTTTACCACCTCACTAAAATAACTTTGCATATGGTAGAAAAACAGTTGGTATCCTTACTTCCCTCCCTCTTAACTTCACTAGCCTAATGCTAAGGGACTGTGTCAGCCTGAAAATCGACAACAAAAAAAGCTGTATGTTGCCAAAGTAACTTGCAGGGTTTGTTAGTTTTCAGAGTTGGCAGTGGATCACTGACAGAAAAGGGGACATCTTAGGTAGAGTTAGTAATAAAGGAAATGGTAATTTTATCATGAAACAGTCTTGTTGCATGAGAAATGTGTGTGCCAAAATCTAATCATTAGAAAATGTCTGATTATTTAGCATACTATATCAGCTTTCCTTAAGGAGTTATCCTGCATGTATATGTGTGTATATATAAATATTTTCTTTTTTCCATCTTTGAGCTCTCTTCCTTTGCTTCTAGCTTGCCTTGGTGACCTGGAGAGACTGCTTATTCAGGCCATTAAATAAGCAGGTATATGTACATTATAACTATAGTGTTATTTTATAGTGTTAATTTTATATATTGTTAGTAACTGTTCCAAGG